TAAAATTTAGTCAAGTTACGATAAATACCAATCAATAAATAATAGGTGACATTTATATGATAATGCTTTATTTGTCTTATAAAAATACAGACATAATAAAACCCAACCTTGCACTACAATGCGCACTCCAAAATTTTACTTGACTCTGATGCAACTGAGGTAAAACACTTAAAGAATATTTAGCTCCTGTGGACACAAGGGAAATAAGGATTCAATAGTTGTACGCAATATGGATTAATGTTATATACGACTATGAAGTCTTGAGTTAACACCTGATCCACATGGACACTGTCTACTAAATTTGAAGCCGAATGTTCTGCAGCGTTGACAGTAGAAGTCGAATACGGTACAAAGTTCGAGGAGGGAATGCGGAACATAAGCTCATATAAAAAGGTAGTTGATGGAGTTGCGACCATTTACATGATTTGACCAAAATAACCAGGTTCTTTAATTAGCCATAAAAAGTAACATTATGTATAAGTGGTCCCCAAACTTTTGTCATATATTAGATTTTTAAAAAATAAACGCAGTCCGTTTTCTTCCTAATGCTAATACTATTGTTGCACTTTTCGCTCGCTGTGAGCACGTGCTGCTTAATAATTGAACACACTGTTGTAGAAACAGCACTGCACCACACATTCTGAGCTTTGTTAACTGTTTCTCCTAAGTTTATGTGAACTCAGCCTGCACGATGTAACCTACTATGCGTTCTGCACATAAGCACTTGGTCGCGATTACGAAGTACGTTGCTTCTAGTCGAGGGGAATTATTAAACACGTCAAAACTGAATAAACCGAGATTTATCCTATAGAATATTTTATCGACACAATATGTATCAGCGCAATGAGCAGTTTGCTTTTACAACCGAATTTAATGTTGCAGCACAGGACTTGATTTCATCGATGGCATGTATATCCCAATGTTTGTTAAATGAAGGCGTACTTTATATTAGTTTGGTGCGTTAAATGTCAAGCATATCGTCTGGCTGTACTAGATATGTGGACTAGTAATGTAGTTTCGTGACTTGCGATAAAATCAATTTATTTTACTATCGTGTCGGAACTGTATACGGCTTGCTAATTTATCAGTTGCATGATAATAATCGTTGTTGATTGTGCGCTGTTATAGCACCAATTATATGGGTGGATATATTGAACATTTATACATAGGATGACCAACACGCAAAAGCAATTAAACCGTGATAATTGGAAATCCCGACAACGACTAAATTTATGAAAGTATGCTCAGCTATTTCAATTTAGATAATTTGTGTCGGCCAAAATTTTGTTTATGCAACCGTTGACTAGCATATTGCATTTTGCTGGTCGAAATCCGCTTGTTAAAATTCATTCATCTCCAGTTCTGTAAGACAATAACGTCCATTAGGCAAATTCCTTAATATTTGTTATTGGCTGTTATGGTCTGATAAGAAGAGTTCGATTTATAATTGTTTTAATAATAATGCCATATGTGTGTGTTGTTACAAATAAACGACTTTTTATTCCCCTCATATTAAACGGAAGTGAACCATGAAACAGTATGTGAATTGTAGTCACAAACCAATATGCCGGGATCCACTGTTAAAGCCAAACTAGATAAGCGTTTATCTAAGAGTTATTTATCAGAATCCGAACTTAGCTTGTTCATTGTCTTATGCCTTTCGACAGGACAGTGTGCATATCCGCAAACAGCTACTTTCGAGAAGAAAGTGGTCAGAGTAATGCATACAATGCACGTAAATTTATCACACAGAATTATTGTCCGCTTATACATGTTAGCGCGGAAACCAGCTTACCGTTGGGAGGGGATCACCGAATACCAAGATGATAAAACTGGAATTGTCAAGGTGACGACATATATGGTTTGCAATCATGTATTGCATATTGGTTCCCACTTTCTGCTTCGAATTAAAAGGCTCCTGAGAGCTTAACGTTCACACAAAAACCAGTCGCGCAGTTCATGCATCTGAAATTAAAATAGGCTATACAAATGTCCGATTGATGATGATCTACTGCTTTTTTAACATACTTTATGTTTGGTTGTTATCTTTTAACTTGTTGAAGTAGATTTTTAAACCAATGCCAGATAAATTAATGTATACTAATATGCCACTGGTATCAAGTTGTTGTAATATATAGAGGCTATACTTCATTTGCTGGTGGCTGCACACATATTAGTATCGTATCGTATTAGTGAGGGGACTTCGGATGCTTGCTATTGCTTTTATTGAAGCACACGTTAGCAGTCATAATATCATAATTGCATTTCGCGGAGTTATTTAGGATACCTTTATGAATATGATAGTTAACGCTGAGTGAGTTAAAACTAAATTAAGACAAATTTTGTTAAAACTGGCCACTCTGAAAAACTGTTTTCCGCATGTTTGTAACTTCAAAGCTATCCTTATTTACCTAAATATTTCCGGTATATTGATCCTGTTATCGTGGATTTTAAACAATAGCTGACCAAACGTATATAAATGAGCACTTTGCGGCCAGAACATATGCGTCATTGTCACTGAACTCCTGCGTGCATTTCCTTGTCGATTTTTTATGCCCGACAGCCGACCCATATATTCCAACCTACCATATCAAAATAAAGCTGTATTCATTAAGTTTATGACTGCCATATTTTAAGGAACGATGGAGGCCGTAGTTTCTGGTGGCAGCCAACACAATATCTACAATCCTTCAGGCAGCACTCTGGTTAGATTGTTTTGCGCCAAACTTGGACACAACATTTAGTAAACAAGTCACAACCCGTTCTTTCTGACATGTTTTAAAATGGAGTAACTTACATATGTTTGAAACGGAAAGAATTATTAATAATCTGGATAATTAGTTTTCTGATGAAGCCCAATATTCTACGTTCTTCCAAACGTTGCCACAAGCGTTTTTAAGCAAACTTAGTGCTCGTAATTTCTCGCACTGTTTACAGTCAGCCATAGGATTCGGATTATCATTGATGATTATTTTGATGCTAGCATCCCTGTTGATATGCCAGAAACATCTATCTCTTTATCGGTTCGTTTCCTAATCATTCATTTCAGTTGTTTGTACACATTTGTCAATTAAGACATCAGTGTTGACAAGGAATTTGCTCATCTAAGGCACCCATTTCAAGTAATAATACTTAAATAAACCATCTTATCTTCTTTTATGGGTCTGATCCTTGTGCAAAATATTTTAGGCACATTCTGGCCCTTACACAACCGCTGAACCTAGAGCGCTTTCTGTTCATGATTACACTTACAAGTAAATACGTAGTTGATTTATAGATATTATGAGCAACTGCACCACTCATCCTCTTGCACATGTTTACAAAGACACCATTGATCTTTGGGTCTGCTTGTGAATACATGAAACTGTTTTAAAAACAAGTGGTTTTGATTAAATAACTGGGTATTTTAAAGAGGAGTAGGAGGCTCCACTGCAAACGATTTTACCATCGGCGCGCTTGAAGTTCAGCTTTACGAGAGGTGAAGGGAGATGTGATTAAAATCATTCTAATGCACTGCTCACGGGGCTCTCTTTTAGTGATCAGTTCGTAAGCAGTTAGCTAATTGGTATCAGGTTCCACTCCCAGTTCAGCTTATCTCTAACTGACGAGTCTACATTAGAATGAAACCAGTCAGTCGTGGAGTGCAAAGATTTCAAGCAGCAGCTCCGAAACTCTTCACTTTGGATGCATTCTTTATGGAACAGCTACCCTTCACAGTTGGGGAAAAGCACAATATGAACACTATTCTCAGGAGACGGTATTGCAGTTCGTGGGACTTTTCGCAGAAAGGATGCATTATTAATTTACCTTCTAAAAAACGAAATGACAGAAACTGGCGATTCTACACAGATAAATGAGGACTATATATTTGGGATCTTTGTTACCTTGATTAGTAGAAGAAGAGAAAATGTGTCGTTTTTAAGTATAAATTGCCAGAAATATAGTTGCTATTCATTTCATGTAAAACTATTAAATGGATTTGTAAAGCGTGGCTAAAATATAAAAAGGTGGAATGTGTGATTAAAATAAGTAGACTGACCATGTACTTGAATACCCGGATAACTGAGAGGTCATCGCATTGCAACAGGTTATCCCCGGCTATGTGCATTGGTTTGAGCTTACAACAATAATGACCTGGCTATGCATTCTGATGTATAGCAGTGACCACCAAATAGTTGAAGTTACGCAACAAGGTTACTCGGAAACATTGAAAATCACTTTCACGAAGCAGCATTTTCCCATAGATTTTGCTACATTGCGAGACAGCAAAACCTTCTTGCATAACCACATGTCTAAATTTATAACCGATTTGCGACTCACTTTTTTAACATTTGGAAATTTCTTTACTGTGGTCATTCGTTGCACGAAGAAAACTTGTCCATTCTTCCTCCCCGCTGTGTGTTCGCTTTGTAAATGTACACATCCTGACACATTACAAGCATATGCGATGTTAGATCATAACTGCGTTGGAATCGTTTGCACAATTTTGTATTGTTTTGAGGAGATGCAAAAGCAAGGTGATATATATGGATATGCATCGGTTGGGTTAGCCCGCACAAATGCATAGCATGCTTCCGTGCCTATTCGCTCAAGTTGGCTGCTGGTGGCTAAGCTTGCGGTGCCACCACCACTTTCCAAACCACTATCATTCTCCCCAATGTTCCAGTTTGCGTCCAGTATCGGGCCAACAGGGTTTATTGTTTTTGATAGATGCTTAATGCCGCCATGTGAAATCACGCGCATCGAACGTGCCAATTCTGATCTCACATAATTAGGTAGGCTATTTGATATCAGTATTGGGGAGTGGGATCCAACTTCCCCCGCACTCCGACCCCCAATCCAGGTTTTATCCGATTGCACAAGGGTTTTGAGCTGCGGTTCTTTATCTGTGCACTCTGTGATCTGCTGAAAAGATTCTGTAATGTTCGGCTTAGATACACACTGAATAAATCCATGTCCGAGCAAATTCTGAATAGAAAAGTTGTGCTCATGTTGGTCGGTTAGGCTGTAAAATCCAGAACGGTATGTAGGATGAAAAATACTGACACAACTGCCGAATCTGTGTAGTTCAAATTGCCCTTATTTTGTTTCGATGAGGTACGACATATTTCTGCTCGAAAACGAACCCAGGTAATAGTTCCGGTTAATCCAGTGATAAGTAAAACGCAGCATAAAACAATAACTACACACATTATTAAGTCAACCGTCTTTTTCGTCGCAAGAAAACTATACGCTCCAAGATCACTACTCTGGCCCTTACTGATGTTCACGTAAAAGAGCGTCCTTGTGATCAGGGGTGGTATACCGCTATCTGATAACTCTACTAGCAAGAAATATATACCAGGGTTTGGTGTTTTTTGGATAACAGACACCTCTTTTTCTTTTTCTTCGAGTGACTTACCATTTTTCGTGGTTTCTGCCTTGCCCCACTTTGTGGTAAGGCGTCCGTTGGTCGAGTCTAAAGAAAAATAATGGAATCCTTGTAGGACTGGTCCAAAGGCTTTCCGAGCTCCTCCAGAATCTATTCCCGCATCCGATTCATGGCTAAAACTTTCGGTGTTGACATCTTGCGACTCCTCAACTAATTTGTATTTCACTACTCCGTTCATATTTAAGTCGTTATCCCTTCCATAAATGACTGCGACTAAAGTATCTTTTAGTGAATCTGTTGAGATCGAAGCGTAAGCACTCCCGAAGCCTAAACCAGGATCTGAAGTCTCTGGTAGAAGTGACATGTTCACAGGGTGAACTAAGTAGGGGGCATTGTCGTTGACATCAGCTATCAAAATCGTCAAAGTAACCGTAGCACTTAGCTGTGTTGGAGTACCTTGGTCAACAGCCAGAAGCACAACAACTATTTTCGGATGCATTTCTCTGTCAATCTCACTTAGTGTCACCAGTCTTGATGCGTTTGATATACCAACAAGATGGCCTCCATCAATTATCTGTAATTTAAAGTGTGCCGTTACGGACTCAATCAATAAATAAATTGTGCCATTTTCTCCCAAATCAGCATCAGAGAATTCGAATCGAGGAAGGATCACGGTACCTGTTGGCATATTCTCTGTCAGTGTCAGCTGTAATTGTCCTGTGTATATAGGTGGATTGTCGTTCACATCCAAAACAACAATAGTCATGTTCGTAGTATTTGATCTAATATTGGAAGCAATACGTACAGTTGATGAGCTATTTGTGTCATTTTTCAAAACCACTTGTTTCTCGCCTTCATCACTTGCAGTTACCAGGTAGTGCATAACGCTTAGCCACTCTCGATCTAGTTTTTTCAAAATCTTGACCACCCCGGTTTGGGAATCAACATGCAAATAACTAAGTAACTCCGGGTTATCTGCACTGATTTCATAGAATAATGTTCCAAGTGATTCGGAATCGGCATCATGTGCATGAACCTGTCCAATGTTAGCACCCACAGCGATGTCCTCTGAAACTGAGAACTTATAATCCACCTGAGTGAACTGGGGGACATTATCATTCTTGTTTCCTAAGGTAATGTGGATCCAATGATTTATCATTCTTGGTGGTTCCCCAGCATCATAGCATTCCAGTCTTGCAGACAAGAGCCCTGTCGGACTGGTATCGCGCTCGAAATCATAAACTCTTGCACTATATAGTCCGTACATAGTGTGGGAATAAGATATTAGGCTAAAATCCGCGGCATAGTGGTCTGTAAGTTTACAAGTAACTTTACTTCTGGACACGGAGTCAGCATCTGAGACAGATACCATCTTGAGAAGTCTTAATGTTGATTCGTTCTCTTCAACAGTTACTAGTGCATCGAAGCTTGCTTGAGCCGCGTTCGAGTCCACATCTATAACCTCTATTTCTGGACTGTTGTCATTAACGTCTACAAGGAACAGAGTTAAACTGCAACTCGCTGTTAACTTTGGTATACCTTGGTCTGTCGCTTTGACGATGAGAACAACCCTTCGTTCCAGATCGTTTTCATAGTCTAGGGGTTGTTGGATACGAAGCTCACCAGTTTTGGGATGGATACTATATATTGCACTCAATTGCTGCAGAGTTGACTGATTTAAATTCGGAAAAGTAGAGGTCCAATCAATTGCGAATGTAAATTCGTTGTTAATTCCTTCATCCTCGTCTTTTGCAATGAAGTGGTAGATAATTGATCCTACTGCTTCATCTTCACGTATTTCCAATGCGGCTGACGCTGATAAATTTAGAAATACCGGAGGATTGTCATTTACATCTTGCAGCTTTACACAGATACGAAGAGTGGCGTTTGAAGTGAAAGGACCATCGTCTTCAGCAACAAGCAAATATTCGTAGTTTGCTCTCGCTTCTCTATCCAAAGCTGTGTTAAGCTTTAATAGTGGTGCATTGGCTGAGCGATTTGACGTGATTAAGCTAAAAACGGGATGCGTCATAGCCACATCGAATTCTAATGGCACTGAAAAAATCCTGTATATGTGCACACCAAACTTTGGCGAATCACGGTCAACTGCGACTGGTAGAGGAAACGTGCTACCAGCTGTGGCGGATTCCGGAATTGATAGCTCCCAACTATAATCCGGTGACCAAGGAAAAGTGGGAGAATTGTCATTTTCATCTCTAATGACCAGGACAATTTTCAACATCGTTGGAGTTGCACTTGAATGAAAAATATACGCCTCCAATCTGAGACGGCATTCGTCTATATCACAACAATTACACTGGCCACACAACAGGTCTCTGTCTATTTTATCGCGTGTAATCAAAAATCCTTCAATGGTAAGCTTAAACAATGTATTTGGATACAAAATGGTCCTTGTGATAGAAGTGTCAAGAGTTCTGTCATGCAGAATATTTCCAACTGTATGATTACCGGGCGTATTATCAGACAAGTGGAATTCTATGAGTCCTGTTTCCTCCTTTGAACCGCTGGGCACAACAATTAGGAATAAAAGACCTGCTGCAAAGTTTGCAGCAGAATCTTGAGGTGCAAAAAGAAAGTACATTGTGCCACCGAAAATCACCTCGAAGTTGCTAATAGTATAAGTCAATGAAGCAGTAGCATACAGAGACATCCGCTTTCCGCAGTGCAAATGGTCCAATGGCGTTGGAGGATAAAGTATGTCCTTAGCCCATTGGTTCAAAGCAACCATTTTATCCACGGGCAAATCACAAATCTCTGTAGTTCTATCCATTTTTTCTGACAACCACCTTACTTACATCGGCGGCTGGGTTTTGAACACTGAAAGCACTAAGAGCCGCCAGGCAAAAGTTTGGGTGCCTTCAAGTTGACTTCACAGTTGAGTTTGCATTTGCTTGTTGACTGTTTTCGTACCTTGTGCAACTGTGTTGTGGGGCACTAAAAGTGGCACTAACATTCTCTATGAAATCTCGGACATTAGTCAAGTGAGGGCCCTTGCGGGTGTAGCAGATTGAACAGTTGTCGCGACAGTTAATATGGTCATTGCAAATTTGTTGCTGTAGACAATGGTCGGGGATAAACGCTTCTATTAGTAATCAGATTCTATGGGAAAGCTCCAGAGCTTTTGAAGGAAACTATTTAAAGCGCACAGCCGCCTTAGTGAAAATGAACCATTGGAGTAAATTGAAGTAAATTTTGTCAGTTATTTATAATATTGTGGTGCGATTAGATCTTAAGAGTTCAGCTTGCCTATGAGCATACTTGTTGCTGTCGATTAATTAGATAAGTTTTGGGTTTATGTTGCTAGAAGTTCTCTAAAAGCAATCTTGTAGATTGCTGGGTACCATTCGCTAACATGTGAAGAAGTTCACGGAGACGTTCAAGCTGTTCAAGTAGAGTTTTCGATTATCAGTTCATATTACTTTTCTTAAGCTTAGTTCTAAAAGTTACATATCGCCATTAACCACCAATGGATGCTGCTCAAGCAATTTCGAGTATAGGCATGATAATAATTTTGCTTAAAAACCTAGTGCTTTCTTTATTCGTGCTAGCTAAATATCGCGGTCACAGTGATTAACCAGGGGTGTAAAGCATGAATCAAGCCTGCAATCAGTGTTTAATATATCTTGTTCATCATATGCATTAAATAGGTCGCTACTACATAGCCCTATAGCCGCACTCTCAGCTAGGCCGATCACGCTTCTCAATGACAGTCTGCAGGGAGTTTTAAAGGTGCATTCTCCTGACAACATTCATGACAAATTTCGTGCTATGATCCCAATTATTGTTCAGACCTGACGAATGCATTATGAACCAACAAATGACGCCGTCATGTTTGTTATATTTGAGGCGATGTCGTTGACAGTAAGCCAAAACAAGTCGACATGCGACGAAAAGAAATCAGTTTTAAAAGTCCTTTCAGTGGCCTATTTCTTTTCTATATGCGTTTTTTCTTGCAACTAAGCACTTGGGACGTAAGTACAGCATGTAATAAAAAGTAATACAAGCTTCGGTATTCTCACTGGTTTGCAAAAGTTATGCATTCCTTAACTTGAAAGGTAGACTTTAAAAAGTTATCTATAAATTTACAGTCTCACACACTGTAGCTAATCAATATTCAGATACAAATATGTTTTTGGAAAACAAATATGCAGGAGAAAATTGTCCCCCGTTAACTTTTGAAGAAAAATAATTTTGGAGGTTTTATCATTCTGACAAATGGTTTAAACCTAGTCATCCTTGAAAAATAAACGAGAATGCTTTAAGGGTGATGTGGTGAGTACTTCGCATTTTGATTTCGGGAAGTTACCTGAAAAATGCATAAACGTGACATACGGAAAGTCCAGATACTACCTGTTAGTTTAGGTGTAGGGAATCACAAACTGGTGTCTGGTGGTAAAACAGCGACTTTTTCTATGTAGGTCAATAAAGTAGGATATCTCAGCCTGCGAAAATATTGATGACCGCTTGTATCGTCCGTATATTCATTATGGTGGGAGTGGGTTAGAAGCAACTTATTCGAAAAGCGTGTCCTAAGACTAGCACCCACGCGAGGGAAATGAATTTCCAATGCATTCCAAGCGGCTTTACTACTCCATTAGTCCTTTAAATTAGCCACTTAGAGAGGTGCAGCTGATGATTACAAACGGAAAGTGATTTACACATATACTTTGATGGATACTTGATGTGATGATCCGTTGTATTCTTACTGCGTACCCGGCGATAAGACCAGTTGAATAATTGCCACAACTGTATCATACCTTATGATGAAGCACGTCTCGTTCCATAGAAGCAAGTAACGGCCTAATGTTGCGTATCATACAGTGTAATGAGTTAGTGTTTTAGCCCTAGCTTTTGGATTGTAATGCCTATTCGAAATTGGAACAAGCATGCACTATAAGTATTTCAAGAAAAATAGAGGAGCTCAATCGTCTGTAAAGTCATTTTAAGTGTCAGGCATTTTTTCTTATTTTGTTGTTTTCTTAGTGTAATACCAATAATCCTGATCCAGCGAACTAGGATCACATGCTCCCAAGGGTTCCGCCTGAGAAAGACTACAATGCCGTATTGAGACGCACATTATGCTATTCCACTTTGAGCAGTGGGGTTATTGTTAAACACTGTTGCATCACATGTATATACTAAGAAAATAATTTTTGTGTTGTGGCCGAATCATCATCTTGTTTTTACTCATGTTTCATTGTTTAGCTGAAATACAGGCACTTGCTTCTCATTGCGTGTGCCGAATCCGGATGGTTACATTGATTATTCAGTATGTCGAATCAGTCGCCCCTTGCCATCGCAATGAGGCTGGACCTTACCGTGGTGCGACGGTTTGTGTGCCTCAGTGATCCATTGAGCTATACTGGGTGGTGCTTTTGCACCTTCAGAGCCACTCATACCAGATTGGTCAATGGCTAGAGGCCAGACAAACTCAGCCTCCTGGTCCTCCAGTTTGGGGGTTGAAATGAGGGTGGCTCCTTATTCCTTAAAACGGACTCCTTGTAGTCCAGTGCCAAACCCGCTGCCTTGCGGACAGGTTTTTGAACCAAAGGCTTTGGTTGAGAACCCTAATCGTTCTCCTGTCTAGGCCTGGGCAACCTGACAGTATCCTGCCTACGCAATACAATGAATCTTTCCCCAAACAAATTTCTGATGCTCTGGCCACCGCAGAGGATAATCAACGGTGCCCTATCTGCTGCATCGAGCAGGGTGGATAGGGGTTTGGATGATACTGCTCAAGCCTTCCAATCTTCTTATTCCCCTTCTTGCGCTTTTTCACCCTTATCGTCCCGTTCCAGCTTTACTTTTATCCCCCTGTTTTCAACCCCCCAATTCTCGGCCCTCCCCACCTTGCTTCAATAGTCGCTTGTCTTTTAGTTTCAACTCACAGGTGAACGCAGAGCGTCATTCCTGCACTGTCAACAGGCCCATGTCCAAGCAAGCGGCCCATTCCAGTTCATCGGCTTCCATTTGGAGCCCTCGATCCTCCTTCAGACTGGCATGCCTCAATGTTCGCACATTGCTTCAGATTGGTCAACAGGCAGCACTTGCCCGAACATTAGAGACCCTATCGATCGATATCTGCTGCTTATCGGAGACCCGCCTGCAAGACTCGAGCTCTGTACTCACTCTGCGATCCCCTTCAGGTGACACTAGCAGCACTTTCTCATTGCGCCTATCCGGTGACGATGCAGCTTCGAGCACCGGCCAAGCCGGTGTTGGTATTGCCCTGAGTCCCCGGGCTGAAGCTGCTCTGGTTGCTTGGATTCCAATCAGTAGCCGGATGTGTGCGGTCCGATTGGCTGGCTCGTTCAAAACTTCGAAGTCGCGTGGGACTAACAGGTGTCTATTCGTTATCGCTGCCTATGCACCGACAAACTGTAGCGATGACTCGGTAAAAGACGACTTCTATCGCCAACTGAACGAACTCCTTCGCCACAGAAGAAGCTCGGACACTGTAGTGCTGGCGGGGATCTGAACGCTCAAGTTGGAAAATTATCCACAGATGAGCTGCATCTGGGCGGCCAACATGGTATAGGCTCCCGTAATGATAACGGTGAGCGGTTACTTCATTTGTGTGAGGATGCTCGCTTATTTCTTGCGAGCACTAATTTCCGACACAGCACCCGCCGGAGGGTGACTTGGCGCCCACCAGCCTCGAACCAGCTATGGACGCAAATCGATCACACTGCTATCAGTTACCGCTGGAGAGGCTGCGTCCAGAACTGTCGCTCGATTTGGAGCACAGGTGTTGACACCGATCATCCACTTGTATGTGCTGACCTGCGGATGCGCTTTGGCGGAGGCCCGCGACGATGTTGTGAGCGCATTGACACCGGCAGACTGGTGAATCCAGCTGTTCTGAACGCCTATCAAATTACGCTGTCATCCGAGTTGGATAAACGCTCACTGGATGCAATTGAAGCTTACTGGTCTCATATGCAACAGGCCTTACTAGCAGCAGGCAAATCCTCATGTGTTATGTCTAATCGCCAACATGAACATTGGGTCTCTTCACAGTCTCTGGAACTTATAGATGCTCGCCGGCATATTCCGGCTGGAAGCGAACACAATGAAACTCGCAAAGAGCTCCGGGCGAAACTCCGTGCTAGCCTGAAGAGAGACCGCGAATCCTGGTGGTCTCTTCGTGCAACAGAGATGGAAATGGCCGCTGCCCTTGGTAACCATCGTGAGTTATTCCGTCTTATACGGAAAACGGGCAGCAGGAGACCTGGTGTTAGTGAAACTATACGTGACGAGAGTGGACAGCCTATCCACAACTTATCAAAACGCCTGGAACGTTGGGCTGAGCACTTTGAAAGGCAATTTAATCGGTCGGAATTGTTAGATTTCTCGCCGACCAGTGATCGCCCTGCTCCGTGGGCTGTTCCTTTGGATCCACCCTCTCGCTCAGAAGTCGAACGTGAGATCAAACTGTTGAAGTTAAATAAAGCCGCGGGACCTGATGACCTTCCTCCAGCCCTCTTCAAATTCGGGGGACCTGCTCTTGTGGATGATTTACACGAGTTACTAGTGAGACTGTGGGAGCAGGAAACTGTCCCAACCGATTGGAGCCGCTCCATCATAGTCCCAATTTTCAAAGGAGGCTCACGATCGGAATGCGGCAGCCATAGAGGAATCAGTCTGATCTCCATCGCCTCCAAATTGCTTGCCTCTGTCATCCTTCACAGACTGACTGGCACTCGTGAAAGCCAGATTCGTGAAGAGCAAGCCGGATTTCGTCGAGGTCGTGGCTGCATTGACCACATC